TATATTAAGAACCTTAAGACCATCTGGTCCAGCAGTTCTTAAGTCTACTGCAGAACAGAATTTGGAAATCAAGTTAAATGTGAATGCTGTCCGCAGGCCAACTTAATTAAGTCACAATCTCTGGTGATAGGGCTCAGGTATCAAAATGTTTAGGTATTTTCCAGGGTAATACTAAAGGGTTGAAAAACCAGTAGTTTAGTTCCAAATTTCATTTTATAGGTGACAAACAGATCTAAAGAAACATTAACTTCCTTAAATCAGAGTCACTTAGAGTCAACACCAGGGGACTTTCCCAAGGTCTTCAGATTCCTAAAATAAAGCTAAACATGCAGCCAGTCTTTAATTTTGGTCACTACTCTTATGTATGACTAGATTTGGAAATGAATCAATTTTAACTGTTTATCTAGATAAAGCCAAATAGATCATCTCTACTTTGACTTCACTTATTTTTCTTCTGATATATCCTAAAATTAAAATTAAAATACTACCCAAGATTTTGGAGTAAACCTGGAGTCCAGAAGTTTTACCCCCCAAATTCCTAACAGGTCACCTTATCTCAAATGCAAAGTGCCACCCAGATCTAAGCTCCTAGTGATTGTTCTACCTGTCAATCTGTCAATTCAGAATAGTGTAATATCTGTGCTGAACAGCGTATTATAAACCACAGTGTTCTTGCTTTTTAGCTTGAGGTGAAAATTGCTCTCATTGTGAGACAGCAATGGTTTCCTTTGTCTCCAGATGAGGCCACAAAATCAGTATCCTTCTGACATGTGCCAACAGCACTGGGCTATGAAATATTAAAGATGATGGTCGGCTAGAAGCTGAAGGTGCCTCGCACATAATAGACATACAACAATGTTTGGTGACTGAAGAAATAAATTATTCCATCCGAATTCTGCTCCAATACCTAAAATAATTCCTTTATGATTAAGAGATTTAAGTAAAAGAAAACCTTTTTACCCCCCCACCCCCATGAAGTGCTTGAAATTTCCTACAAAGATACATAGGCCTCTTTTGTAACTTTTTCCCTCTTGAGGGTGGGGTATTAGACTAAAATGTCAATTTTAATTTTTCAGAAAAATTGGCTTCTGATTAATTAAATGAATAGCTCATTGAAGACCTGAAATGGAATGGATTCTGTGTGTCAATCAACTTCAGTTCTGTGAGTTATTTAGAAAACTGTTAATCACTCCCTTAGAATTGCATCAAATTATATATACCCCAAAGGACAGAAACTGATAAATCAAGATATTAGTCAATTTAAGAATCCTAGTTAAATTCCTGATTCCCTGTTCCTCTTCATTTTCAGGCAGTTTATGGTAGATCTACAAATGCTAAGTGACAGCAAGTTGATCCTATGACATTACTATACAAACATGGTTGGGAAAATAGGTATGAATTTCCAGCTTAGAGCTCAAGAAGTCTAATTTAGAGTGGCTTAATTGTTAAAATTATACATATACATAATTAAAACATCTATTAGACATACTACTCGAAGTCTATTGTTTTTCAGTTTATTTACAAACATTATATTATTTATAGTGATTCTGCTTGTTAAGCACTATTCTTCCTATTGTAGAACTGATAAAGCTGATGCTTAGAGAATTAAAGGATACATGCTGGATACAAATAAATCTGGACTCAAGATTTGAACTAAGATTTAACTCACAACCCCATCTTTGACAGCTACACAATGCTGCCTCCTGCATTCGCTGTTGTATTTTATCGAGATGCAAAAGATCTTTTTTGAGTTCTGGAGAAAGGATGTCCCAAGGCTAATCCATCTGCTCCTTTTTATGATTTTTAGTATAAATAATTATTTTAGTGAATTTTCTAACTCATTAAAATTAAGTAATTTTCAAAGTATCTTAAGCATTTTCTTAAATTTTTAGAAGACATGTTCTTTGACTGAATTTTCCACATTTACTTTTTTTTTTCCTTTATTTTTCAGTAACAAAGAGAGAGAGGAAGAGAGATACAGAGACAGGTTGAAGGTGACACTTAGTGCTAGTGCTTTGTTGGGTAAAGAAATGTCATTGTGGTTGTTAATAAAATGATTTATACCTGGCTCAATTAACTCCTTTGTATTGATTTGATGTAGATGGGACTTAACAGATTAACCAGATGAGCTATATAAACCAATCATATGATACTTAGGATCACATGAAAAGTTCTAGGTTGTTAATGCTAGGTGGTCGGAATTTTTGAAGGACAATCTACAATGTTCTATCGCAAGTTAAGTAACTTAATAGAGTAAGATTTAATAATTTAATCAATATCTCATATTGAATGTCCTATTAAAATAACAAAAAAATATAAGCTACATCAAACAATTTATTATACCAAATTCAAGAGTCTCTTTGTTATATACTTTTCAAAACCAGTGAGGAGTATAATTTCAACATAGTGTTCAAATAAAAAGGCAATGTAGGAAATAATAAGCATAATCAATCACTGATCACATTATATGTAATTCAATATATACTAATCACATATTTCGTCTTCAAATAATGAACTGCACTCATGCAGAAAATTATTAATACTATCTTCACTGAGGTAGTACAACTATTTATCTAAAGATTTGTTCAAAAATAGGAACCAGAGTCCAACATGCATCAAAAGGATTATGGTCTATTTTAAATCTAGAATTCACTTCAGTATTTAACATAGGTTTTAATATACCTTCAAAATGCTGAAGAAGTAGTACTCACTTCTGACAACCAATTAAATCTAAAAATATGAGTCCTTGGTCTAACACTGACCTCAGATGGTAATTTCTCCATCTCCTTGAATTTTGATGGATCTGAATTTACCATACTGCTTTCTAAATACTCTCCTACAAGGAGTATCTAGACTTTTTTGGTAAGAATGCATTTTATATTTTTTTCCTCAAAATTTTTTGCCAAATTAATTCACACTGTTTATTTTACTCTTAGCATATCACTGCTTTGTTTTTTTCCCCCTCTGTTAGTATTTTATCTGCACCTTTTAAACAAGTGTTTCTCAAAATTGGGTGTACATTATTGTTATGTGAAGAGGGTTTTTTTAAAAAAAAATGTGAAGGCCTGTGTTTCACCTCCAAGGGTTCTGATCAGTTGATTTTGAATAATGTCCAAAGATTTACCTTTTCAAAGCATCTCAGGTGAACCTAATGCCCAGCCACTGGTAACACTACCTAGTCTTCTAAATGCAATACTCATAAATATCTAGAGAAACTAAATTATTAATGAAAACATCAGTATGAATACTAATCACAGATAACATAATTATATTCAACATAGACCATAAAGTAAACCAAAGAGGAAATTAAAAAGAAAAGGGAAAGGAAGAAGCTCTGTTTCACATGAAACAGAAGCATCATGAAATAACTCCCTATATACAAATTGTCATTCATCATAATCTTTTATTCCGTATTACTACAAGCTTCCTAAACTTTCACTGTGTTGAAGACACTGATGCTTCTGTCTACTAGCCAGGTTTGTTCCTGTCACTTTGAGCCTGAGAGTATCGGATGCCAAAGTTCAAAGAATCATGTTCTACCTGACAAAGAAGAAAGGGTCACAGGGGCAGCAGCTGCAGCAGCTGCAGCAGCTGCACAGACCAGACATTATTAGCCAAAAAGCTCCTGCAACACCCAGCCCCCGCTGCACTTTATATTGTTCGGAGGAGCTTTGAAAAACTGCCTAGACTCAGGCCCTACTGCCCTAATGGTCTGGCTCAGGCAACTTATGTTTTGTAGCCTCTCCAGGGGTTTGTTATGTGCAGCCAAGGTGGAGAACCACTGACTCAAATGGGTTTGAAAATTCCAAGGTCACAGGATGCAGTCAATTATAACACCACCAGGATGACCAACTGTAAGTGATCCCCCTACTTCCTCAGGTAGCTTCACCTCTCCTATCTGACATTTCCTCCTTCAAATTTAATCAAAGCTTGCTCTTACTCATTTTGAACTTCTTTTAATTCTTTAAAATAACAGGAGTTTGTCATAAGAAGAATATTGTGATTTGCTATAAATCCTCTCACTCACAGAGTGGGCTTTTATCAGACATAAACAGACATTTGGGATGTTGATCCTTCTGTTATATTTTGTTGAATTTATATTTATTCTCAATTTTTCACAGCTTAGGTGTCAAAGTCATCCTACATTATTTCTCAGAAGTGAGAAAATATAGCAAACAGGATGACAAATTTAAAAGCTTCTTCCTTTTATTCTCTTTGTGGTTTTGTAAAAGTCCATGATACTAATAACACACACACACACACACACACACACACACATGGGGGGTGGGGAGACTATTATTGTATGACACTTATGTACCAGGACTGTTCTAAACACTTTATAGGAAGTTACTCATTTAGTCCTAATAATCTGAAAATTAATATTTTACCTCCCTTTATAGATGATAAAATAGAGGCACGGAGATATTAGTTTCTCAAGGTGACCTACTAACTAACTGAAAGAGAATCATTAGTTCTTTAAAATCTGGGCTTTTAATTACAAGAGGATGTTGTCTTTATGAGAATAAAGATTGTCTTTTTCTGAGCAGAGATGTGATTTACCATATTATTATACTTCTGATCAACAGGTTAATCTTTGTAGTCCAGTGGGATAATGCCACAGAAATGAAATTTGGTTTTTAAAAGATTTTTCTGGTGATAAAGGTACCAAAAAATCACCTTGAAATCATTCAAGGCAGTCACAGGTGCTCAAAATATAGGTATATGCATGGGGGAATCACCTAGGAATGATCATTTAAGAACCTAAGAAACATTATAGACTCCTTTGAAGGTTTGACTTTGAGTAAATTCTGGGCAAAGTCGCTCAGAAGAGTTAACATAAACTGAGTGGGTAGTTGCATTAGTTGGGAATAAAGATGAGAATTAAAAAAGATCCCATATTTCTAAGAAAATCTTAATTCTATGTAGGTTCAGAAGGGATTTTTAAATTTTAATAACAACTCCCTTCAGTGAACAGCCTCTGAAAGTCAGTCAATCAATACCAGCTTCACACTTTGAAAGGGAGCCAATCAACAGTAAACTCATCCTAGCGGAACAGGCCAAGATTAACCAGTCCCCTGTCAGTACTCCAGAACACAATGATCCAAATGAGATCAGAAGCGTGCCTGCTCAGCAAAGCTGCACCTGACTGACAGAGATCCATTCACTTGTTTTTGGTTTCAGATACAGGTAATCTCTTCTTTCAAAAGAAAATATAATTGCTATTTTTTAAATGTTTAAACATTTAAACCTATCCAAACCCATTTTAGGTTTCTGTTACATTTAAATTTTAGTAAATCCTGTTAACTACGCCCAGTAATAGTATTTCTAGGTGAATGATGTTAGGCTAGTCCACTACTGATAATTTTAGCCCCACAAGCTGACTGGAACCCAAGGCAAAGCCTTTCGTACATGAACCAAAAATGTCACATATAAACAGCTGTGTCTCTGAGGACCTACGCACAGAAGAAACTCTGCTGTCAGACTGAGACATTACCAATGCCCTTTCCTGGAATCAAGTTGGCTTTTAAATTACCCTAAGCAAGGAAGGACTCATTGCACCAGGAACATCATTTGTAAGAAGGACATTCCAGTTTTCAACAGTGACATAATGTGGTACAGAAAAGTAACAGCAGCTGGCGAACTGGGAAGAGTTGCCTCTTATTTCTCTCCCTATGTGGGTGAAAATGCTAGACACCTTAGAAGTGGATAAACCTTTAAGTTTTGGGGCAATTCAGCAGGAGACTTCATTAAGACCTCTCCTGTTAGTAAACTTTTTGTTACTAAAACATGCAGATTCTTAAACATAAAACTGGAAAAAATTATAAATAGGCACATACCTCAAGTTGGGAAGTAAACTTGTGAATTTTACTATTTTATAGTAAAATCCCATGGCTTGTCTGGGTAGCTTCCATAATTTCTATTCTAAGACACTTGACTTGGGAACTTATTTAGGTATGTTAGAATTTTACATAATGTAGCAATTATTGAATATCCACAGTATTCAGGCACCATGGCCACCAAATCCTTAATTTACATCTGTATAATATTGTTGATGTATCAGTTTTCTTCCATTTTCCCAGTAATCCATAGAACTAATCCATAGAACTAATTTCTCATGTTCCCTTGCAGAAGAAAATCATCAAAGCTTCCCATCGTTTTATTCACAATATTTTGATGGTACAAATCATGTAAAAATTTTGCATTAGGTTCATTTTTTAAGGGATGGCCTAGTAGAGTCAACAACAAATAACTAGCTCTATAAACTTAGAAACCTGGTTGAAGGTGGCTATATTTGCTACAGACTTTTATATCATTTTACTACATTTTTTGTGCCAGATATTTGTCCAAATTTTGGAATTTATTTCTGATAATTTCCTATTACCATAACCATGCTTATAAACCCTCAAAGATCATCCTCATAAGGAATTACTTAGTTGATACCAACTGTTAAAAACAAATATAAACTAAAAGGAAGACCTTAATCTGTTAAATGATAAAAAGAATAGCATTAATAGAATACACATTAACAATTTGACTTTATGAGTTTAGAAAATTTACTTGGCAATTACTTTCCTCCATTTCTCTGATGCAGTATATAAAAGGTAATAAAACTCAAACAATATTAATATTTGTTATTTTATTGTGGTTGCTATATTTTATTATTATTTAATATCACTATGATTTAACTAACAGCCTTTGTGGTGTAGTATATGTAGGATCATATTTTAAAGTATGCATATAAAATATTAAGACATTTCATTCATTTTAAAATTTCAATCTTTGAACAGATTTGTAATTCACATATAGTAGTATGGTGTGATCACAAAATTTGTATATATGGTTGTTATATAATGGAATTATTTGTTTTTTTATTATTTATCAATATTTTTAGTGATTGTTCATTATTAATTTATTTATCTTTATTTATCTTAAATTTATTTGTGCTATCATGCTTAATCAAAAAATTCTGTAGCTGGGCTCAGTGGTACACACCTGTAATCCTAGCCTCTAGGAAGGCTGAAGAAGAAGGTTCCTGAGTTCAAAGCCAGCCTCAGCAATGGCGAGGCACTAAGCCACGCAGTGAGACCCTGTCTCTAAATAAAATACAAAATAGGGCTGGGGATGTGGCTCAGTGGTCGAGTGCACCTGATTCAATCCCCAGTACCAATAAATATATAAATAAATAAATCTGCAAATTTGTGGTCTAGAGGTAGTCTGACATGCATTCAATTAAAGTAACCTCATGGCAGTTTCAAACATTTAAACTGTTTGCTATGAATTAAAAGACCATTTCCAGTTTATAGGATGATAAACAGGTTGTCAGAGGCATACAAGCTACTATAAATTTTAAAAACCAGCATATCAGTCAGAATGCTGAATCTGCTCAGTAGGGCATCTGTCAGCAACAGGCTACTGTGACCTACATGCAGCCTATACAGAAACTGGAATTTTTCCTAAACAAAAACTGGAAAACTCACCCATGCCTTCACAGCTTCATAGCTGACTTCTTTAAGGCTGGTGCCTACCCATTGTTGATCACTCGATAGGCAATAAGTCAGAGAATCAGCTCCTAAGTTCTCACATTGTCTAGATCATCCCTCCTCTGATTCACTGCCAGACTCTCAAACTTATGGGCAGAGAGCCAAAGTGCTCAGACTGCAGGTGTGATTTTTTTTCTTTTAATATGATTCATTGTTTAAACAAATTTTGAATTCAATTCCATCTGGTAGAACATTCACTCTCTTTCAGCCACAGCCTCTACCACTAATTATGGGCTTACATTCACAGCTTCACTCACCACCTTTAGTGGCTTGGCCCTGAAGGTGTTTGAATTAGTAACTCTTGTGACTAACCTGTGAATTATAGAAGGGCAAAGCCTGTGTCCATTTCAATCACTATTGTGTATTTGGCCCTTACCAGAATACCTTACATGTGGTAGGCTATCATTAATATTCGATGACACAAAGAATGTATAAATCAATGAATGGCAATCTTATATTCAGATTTTGAGGGTGAATAGCAGAGGGGAGGTAAAATTGTAGATGGTAATCTTTAAATCCTTTAAATATCACAATGAGTTGTTTTCATTGACTACAGCAAATAGACACACATTAAAGTAAGCTATCTAAACTGGTTACAATGCTACCAGATTATAAATGTCAGTTCCTGAGTCCTGCAGGTAAACGTTTCCAAAAGATTCTAGATCATTATTTTCATGGATGCACACAGCATGTAAGATATTGCTGTAAAAGACAAACAACATACAGATTCACTGGCACCTGTCATATCCTTTTTTATAATAATCTGTCTGAGAGAGAGAAAGAAATGGAAAAGAATTCTTAACAGCTGAGATAAACAAAGCTAAGACAGAATCTTTTCATTGGTACAAAATCTGACAGTCTTACTTATGAGTGGTTCCAAGATAGAGTGTGAAACCAAGAGAGGTTATTGTCATCAACTTTTCTTTGAAATAGCCTAGCCTATGAATTTTTGTCACCTAGCTCAATGGTTTTTGGACAGGCACTTGGAGACAACAAAACATATTCATCACATTCTTTATGCTCTTTTGAAACCTTCCTCTTGCTTTAAAAACACATAATGATTCTTAATCTCAATGTTGTACACGATCTAGAAATTTTATCTGTGAAACTGAGAAAACATATGCTGCCAGAGAAGTACAAAATGATTGCCTCTTTCTAATACCTGAGGTAGTAGCATGATAATAACTGTGTAAGACAACTTCTCCCTTATCTCAAAATAATTATGGCTCTCTAGAATTCAACATCTGTGTTACCAGATGTTACTGTCAAACACGTAAGCAATGGGTTTGAGTATTGCACAAACCTGGCCAGCTTCCAAGAGTCTTTGTCTACATACCTCAGCAGAAGCAGGTGGCGTTCTGTAGTCCAAGATTTTAAGTACTATAACACACTAATCCTGTTCCATAAAGTGGAAATGGTTTTCTGTAACAGTAGACTGAATCTGTTGAGGTTCAAGCCACTAGTTTGGTTCTACTGATAGACATCTTCATGGCTATGTTTTAAGTGAAAAAATTTATTTTAACATGAATTTAATGGCACTAAAAACCAAAAAAATAAAGAAAAAAACTAATTATGAACCAAAAATTGTTACATTTTTTTCTAAATAAATGAAATCATGCTGTTATGGCAATTAATCAAATTATTTTGTAAAATTTGGGAGAAAAATAGGATTTCTTAGAAAAACAAACAAAATTAGTTGTTTTAGATAGGCTGTGATGTCAGTTATATAATGCTGTATTTTGAGGACATTGAAAGGTTGATTAGAAGATGTAGTAATCATTTAATAAAGGTAAGTGCAATTCTTAAAATTTGAGATTGCCCTTCCTTCTTGATGTTAAAATAGAGCACAGTTTATGAACTACATATATTACAGTGCTGAGGATTGAACCCAAGACCTTATGCATGCTTGGTAAGGACTCTACCATTGAACTCCAAGCCTAGCCCATAGCTTAAACTTTGTTTCCTTTTGTAAATTAAAACTTGCAGTCACAAAAATTTTATGAACTCATTAGATTTAAAATACCTATGTTTCTCTAAAATTAAAAAAAAAAAAGATTTGCTTTCCTTAACTCCAAATTTAATTTAGAAGATCTTTGTTGACATTTCCTTAAAGAATGTCACATACAAAATCAATGTTTTTACTCAGAAGGTTCTGAACAAGTGCAAATCATTTAGGAACTATATTAAAAATGAAGCCATTAATTTTAGAGTGAAAAGACAAGATACAGACTGGAAGTAAATATTTACAAATTATTCATCCAACAAGGGATTAATAAGCAAAATATACCAGGAACTCCAAAATCTCAATAGCCAAAAACCAATTTAAAAATGGGCAATAGAATTAAATGGCTCTTTCTCACAAGAAGACATTTAAATAGCCAACAGGTATATGAAAAAAAAATGTTTAATATCACCAATCATCAGGGGCATGCAAATCAAAAGCACAATGAGATATCACCTCATCCCACTAAGCATGCTTATTATCAAAAAGACAAACAACAA